AGAAAGAGAGAGAGAGAGAGAAAGAGAGAAGGAAGGAAGAGAAGGAAGGGAAGGAAGGGAAAGAAAAGAAAGAACTCCATTGATATTTTCCTATGTGCTTTTTGTATTGGTTGCTTTTTAGACCTACTATGTGGCTGGCTTTAGCATACTTTGTGGAGCAGGCATTTTCCTTTGCCTTGTTACATCCCTCACTGTAGAATGGATGGGTCTCACAGCTGCCAAAAATCTTCACCACAACCTTCTCAATAAGATAATCCTTGGACCAATAAGGTAAAACAGTGGTTATTTCTCACTCCCACACCTTAAATAATAAAAACATGCATTTTTCAATTTAAGCGAAACGTGAAAGTTTGAAGAATTTCTTTAGTCCTTGAGCAAATGAATAGGGAGCTTCTCATTTTCATGACCCTAAGATGCCCATTAGCAATGCCCAGGTTCCAAATAGTTTAGTATTATCATATACTTCCATCTGTTTATTGCCTAGGTTTTTTGATACCACACCCCTGGGACTGATTCTCAATCGCTTTTCAGCTGATACTAATATCATTGATCAGGTGAGTAACTGGGTTACTTGCAAGTTCAAAAATTAGTTTCGCAATGTAAGGTAAATAGCATTTTAAGATAAAACATAATCCCTATTAACAATAGAGGATTGCCAAAATTTAAATAAAGTCCTACTTGTATTAATATCAATATTATACATGCAAATGATATCTAGAATGAAATATTAAAGAAAAATCTTAACTCAGACTAATTTGTACATGTAGAAGAAGGTACTTGGAGAACTATCATGAAGTAAAGAGAAATAGTAAAGAATGATTGAACGTTAAAAATTTAGATTATAAAAAAATTGTTTTGGTTAGTGTCGTATCAGCATTCACAGTATAAAGTTCTTAAAAGTTTAGTATCCATGCAGAATTTATCTCAGAAGTGAAGGATGGGATGCCAAACTGTCTTAAAGTCCTTTTCTTTTATTAGATTGGTTCCTGAAGCTTCAGATGATGTGATACTTTAGGAAAAATTCCAAGAATGCCCAGTTTAGCCTAAGATCCTTAGGAATCTAAAAGTTTGTTTGAAATAAAAGACATCAAACTCTGAAATTATATCACTCTAAAAGTGGAACCCTTTGGATGACTGAGAAAGGAATTCGTCAAATCCGGCCCTTGCCTTTTCTGACTTTCCAGAGTAGCATTAGGAACACTGAAATGGCCCTCAATTTAGAAAGAGGGTTGATGCATGCAGCTGACTGCAGAGTATGTTGAGAAGTTTTGATGTTTTCATGGCATTGGTATTAGGTCAGACTGCACCTAAAACCTTTCCAAGGAATACATGTTGGAAAAGAAGAAATGAAACACTCATTATTTAGAAGATGAAATGATTGTTACTTAGAGAATTCAGAATAATTAGTAAAATAAGTTGCCAATTAGAAAAGTCAGCAGAGTATCTACATAAGATATATCATATGAAAAGCAGCAACTTCCTCTACACCAATTTAAGAAAATAGTGAAAAACAAACAGAACAGAGTCCTCAGAAATAATACCACACGTCTACAGCCATCTGATCTTTGATAAACCTGAGAAAAACAAGAAATGGGGAAAGGATTCCCTATTTAATAAGTGGTGCTGGGAAAATTGGCTAGCCATAAGTAGAAAGCTGAAACTG